TGAGGTGAGTTACGGCGTGTTGCAAGTTTTGTGAGGTGCTTTCGTGATATTTAATGGATCGGATTACATTTTTTATTTTTCTCCGATATCCGATCCAGTAATTTAGGTCAGTATCAGACCGATACGTAATATCGGATGGTCCATCTCTAATTTAAACCAATAGTAATCTGTCATTGGAATAAGATAACTGACCTTTGAAGTTAAATAGTTTGAAACTGGAAAGCTGTCTGCTAAAACAATTAGTGCATTAAAGGGGAGAGTTGAAATACAAAACCAAGTTCAAACAATCAGTTTAAATGGGGGAAAAAGCACAAATTTAAACTATAGATGTACCATCATCTATTCAACCATTAAAAAAAAAGAAGAAGAAAAGACTGGTAAAAAACAAACAAAAAAAACCAAACAAAACTTGTAAACCTGCCTGACTTTCATGTCATTGAATTCAATAGACAGTGGGTCAACTCTAACACACTTTCCAGCCGTGGTGCGAATTTACTGCAAGTCAAACACTAGGTATATTTTCTCTCGTGGTAGTGTGAATGTACTTTACCACACGTTTCAGTTCACTCCTTTTATTGATAGTCAAACACTGAAAAGATAAAGATTCAGAATTCATCACTACAAATCACGTGATTTATTTTACAAGACAGTCTGTCTTTACATAATAAACTCATATCAAAAAAAAAAAAAAATCATTCCTGTCCACAGAAATTCTTCATTCATATTTGGAATCTCAGTTTGATGTTTAGGACAAAATAAGACCAACTATTTTGGGTCTTTCACACTTGAACACTGGGGGTCTCCCATATTTCATCATCATACATATTTGAGATACATGTGATCCCATCCTTCGAGGACACATCCGGATGGTTTACATCACTGGCTGTTGTCTCCTCAGTATTTGGGATGAAATCACCTGTATAATCACCAACACTTCCTAAAGACTCCACAGTAGGTTCATTAGGTTCTCGTGTAGACCCTTGGTGATTCAGTATACAAGGAGCTTGCTTAACTGCAGAAACTTCACTAGTAACTAAACCCTCCGTACTGCCAAGATCCAGGACTGCTGAATGTCCCTCACTACTAATCAAGAAGGCAAACGGGGACGCAACTTGGATTTTCTCTGATGATTCTTCCCATCTTCCTTCATGCTCTCCGTTTGTAACAACTGCTGTGCCCTTGTTTCCAGTTTTCTCCTGGTTGTGACATCTGCTCTCCAGCCCAAAGAAGTGGTTTCTGACAATGTAGCGTACACACTGCAGGAGGACATTCCTCTCGTGTCGGATATCTGGAGCCAGTAACTAAACAAAGAGACAAACAAGAGTTGGACTAAATAACACATCTAAATAGTATAGCTTTAAACAGCGTGTCCTTTTATACTAAATCAAAATCATATAAATACACACGCATAGTGTCAAATGACTTCCATACCATCTCAAGCAAAGTGGGGCGATGTGACTGTGGTAGTCTTCCTCGTCCCGCTCTTTCCCCTTTGCTGTTGGGCATGTGAAGTCTGGAATCTGTCTGAACTGTTTTCTGTCTCTCTGCATTCTGTAAAAAAGCCCCTCTACCCCTGGCAGGTGCCCTCTCCTGAGGGTTGGGTGGTATTAAGTTTAGAAGGTTCTGGTTCTCTTGCACCAGCTCCTTACCTCTCTGAATGGGTGTGGCTAAAACGCAAAAGCACAAGCGTTAGTAGAAACACTGGACATAAGTTACACTTTGTTATATATCCATCCATCCATTCGCGTCCGCTTATCCTTTTCATGGTCGCGGGGGGCGCTGGAGCCTATCCCAGCTGTCATAGGGCGAGAGGCGGGGGACACCCTGGACAGGTCGCCAGTCTGTCGCAGGGCCAACACAGAGACAGACAACCATTCGCACTCACATTCACACCTAGTGACAATTTGGATTAACCAATTAACCTATCCCCACTAAGCTTTGTTATAAACTACATAATAAAACCAAACAACAACAGAGCTACTCCGAGATAAAATTAAAGTACATGTTTAATGTTGAATCTGATGAAAACTAGGGCAAGTTATTGTGACTCAGGACACACACACACACACACACACACACACACACACACACACACACACACACACACACACACACACACACACACACACACACACACACACACACACATATCTGTATTGAACTGTTCGATACAGTGCCTTCAGTTCAGTACGCATATGTATGGAACGATACAAAATTTTTAATTTATTTGATCAAATATTCTTCTGACGATGCCGTCTGTGTTGAGGGCTCAGTGGATCTGCATTTGATTACTCCGTCTAGGGTGCATTGTCGGGCGCAGATCAACTGAGTGCTGCCCATATGCATTCAGACAAGTTTGCATGGCAACTCCTCAACGCTACCCAAAACTGAACCTCATCCACAGTCATTCAGATCTGGCGTTTGGAACCATTTTGGTTTTCATGTGAAGTATGACCCTACTTAAGCCTGTTGTGGAAAAAAGTACAACAGTATGTCGGATGTAACAAGCAATGCTCAATTACATCGGTCGGAACGCAACAAATATGATTACACATTTACGCCGACATCACACTAGTGCAAAGACAAGTGGAAGCAGACAAAAACAACACCAACAACAACACCAAGCACGCATGCTACAAACGGCGAGTCATTTAGACAGCCGTTAGAACATGATTCTAAGAGGGCAAAGGGGATAGACAGGGCAATTGCTACTTTTAATGCTGTCTACAAAATTGCTTTTCTTTTGGAAAGAGCCATTTCTCTGTAATAAACTCTTTTCCACAGATGAGTGATTTCGCCATCAGATGCAAAAAATAATATAATAACAAAATAAATGTATCGAAAAAAATATCTAACCGTGACACCCAATGTTCCCTCTAATCTGCGTGTGCGCAATTGTGCACTACTGGCATGGCCTTTGCGCACAAAAACTCTGCGTTGCAGACAAAAAACCCCCCCAAAAAAAACAACCTGATTGGAAATTAAAATGGAAACTTTAACAATTCTGTTTTGCAGTGTTAGTCAGTAAGTGGCTGGCTGCGCCTGTATCAATGCCACCTTATCCCATAGTCCAGCCAATCACGCGATTACATTTGTATTTACGCAGCTTTTTTTTTTTTTTTTTTTTAATTCTAAACAATTGAACAGCAAACATACATAGTAATGTAGGTTATAGAAAGGGTATGAAAAATTTCACAGTTTGCAGTATCTTTTACAAGTCATGAATACAAATACACACAAATACAAGTACGTAAACAAAAAAGTATACCTTAGAAGAAAACAAACAAACAAACAAAATAACTGATTAGAAAAAAACATAGTTCTTGTGTTTTACATGCTTTGGAGTTAGTGCTGTTCTTTAGATTCTCTAGATAATTGGAAAACAGGGTTTTAAAAGCAAATATGTTTGGGCGCTGTTGAGAAAATTTTGTATGTGAAATTTGGCAAAAATAATCAGAAGATTGATAATATATGTTTTTCCTGGAGTTATTTTATCAGTATGTGAGAGGCCAAATAGAATATGTTGAAACTTCAGTTTACATGAGGGATCAATTTTGGTGTTTATAAAATTAATTGATAATTGACAATTATCATTCAGTAATTGACTAACAAGTAAAATTTTCCTATCCACCCATTTCTGAATATATATTGATTTGTTCTTAAATTTAATATCCTGATTATTCCAAATGAGATCTTTATGGGGAGAAAGGTTGTGAGAGTATATCATTAACCAAGAGATAGGAGTTGAATGAAAGTTGGAGAGTTTAATCGGTAATTTAGAGATATTGTAATTGCATTTTAGCAGAAAGTGCATTCCTCCAAGTGAGTTAAAGATATGGTTGGTAATAAAATTCCAAATTGAAATGGGATTTTTAAAAAAGAGTTTGATCCATTTGATTTTAAAAGACACATTTAAGGAAGTGAAATCTAAAGAATTTAGGCCACCAGAACACAACTTGTTTATCATTACATTTTTTTAATATAATGTATTCTCTTTTTCCAAATGAAGTTAAATAATATTTTATCAATTTTTGTGCATAATTCTTTTGAAACATCAGGTACCATATCTGCATATATAAGTCTGGAGAGGCCTTCAACTTTGGCTGTCTAACGATCTTCCAGTAATGGATAAATCTCTTTGAAGCCAAAGATGAAATCTTTGTTGTATTGCAGTTATAAGAGGGTCGAAATTTTCAGATAATCTAGCATCTTAGTCTTTTTGAATGGTAATACCAAGACATTTAACCTTATTTTTAACAGGAACACCTGATACAATTGTATCTGTGCAGAATTTAACAGGGAGAAGTTCACATTTTGTAATGTTGAGTGGTCTTAAACCAGAGGCTATTGAGAAATTATTGAGAACTTTGAGAGCTTCATCAACTTAATATTTATCCTTTAAAAAAAAAAAAGTGTTGTGTCATCTGCTAGTTGAGTAATAGATAATGTTCTGCCAGCAACAGAGAGACCCATTACACTGCTGTTCTTAAAATGAATACAGAGTAACTGCATAGGAAGAAGGAAAAGATATGCAGAAAATGGACAACCTTGACAGATCCCACGGTTATTATCAAATCTTTGATATGTTTGATTATATGCAGATGCAAATAGCTCAAAGTTTGAATTGATTTTTTAAACATATTTCCAAAACCAAAAATATCAAGTGCTCTGAACATGAATTCATGTTCAATGGAGTCGAAAGCTTTATAAAAATCAAAAAAAAAAAAAAAAAAGAAAGGAAAAAAAGAAAAGAAACTATTATCTGTGATTAAATCTGAATGATCCAAAATATCAATTACCAGTCTTATATTGTTAGTTATATGTCTGCCAGTCATAAAACCAGACTGTTTCATCAATTAAGTGCACATTTTAATTTTTTAGCTAAACACATAGCAATTATTTTATAATCATTATTCAGGAGTGAAATAGGTCTCCAATTTTCTATCAAAAGGGCGTCTTTATGAGGTTTAGGAATCAAAGTAATCAGTCCCTGAGTCAAGGAAGGAGGGAGCTTTCCATTATCAATGCTTTCAATAAGTCCTTTGAAAATAATTTGTAAAATTCAGAAGTCAAACCGTCATTCCCTGGGTTTCATTTTATTAATAGCACCTTCAATATTGTTACAGGAAAAATGATTCTATGTTTCTTTACCTTCTTTTAAATGTACAAAGATGCCTTTTTCACTGCCCTTTGTCTATGGTTAGATTAGTTTAGAATTATCCTTTTAGACTTTCCCAGCAAAGACATATTGTTTTGGGACATATTGTTTTAGATTGTTTTATCTCT